GCGGGCGGCGGGGGGGGGGGGGGGGGGGGGGGGGGGGGGGGGACCCAGTAGATTCATGACAGCAAACAAATGAGGCAGATGCAGGCAGCACTCGGCGATTAATTAACATAACAGATCAGAGAGGTCTATCCACAAGTTCAGTACAACCCAAATAGTACTTTAAACTGTTTGGACGTGCTCAATGTATGCAAGAATTCCCTTTCTCAACTTGAGCTATGTTTGATTCTACACTTTTAAGCTCTTCATATTCATCCCATAAATGCATTATTCAATACGTCATACTGAAGAGAGCTACAAAATTTCCACCACAATAGAAACTGACAACCCCAATAAGTATAAGCTCAGTTCAAATTTGTTCTTATGAGACAGTTTTAGCGGCAGATGGAATTAATTCAACAAATTCACAAGTCGATACATATGTCGAAGTGAAAGCCAACATCCAAGAAGGTATATGAAAAATCAACAACACACGAGATGAAATGTGATGGATAAACTATGTAAAAGATGTTGGCAAAGCAAAACCAAACCTCCTGCCTCGTGATATTGAAAAGAACACGTTATTGAGATTATTTAACAAATTTGTGAACAGAAGAATAAGAAGAATATCGAGCTTAATCACCAAGTAAATAAAAAGGAGCAAACAGTGAAGTGAAATTGAGAATAGAAAAAGAGGAAAGACAAATAACAACGAAGTTTGAACACCGTGTGATCTTTTATAAATTCTCTTTATCCTTTTTCTTCAGGAAAATTATAGAAAAGCAGATTCGATGTGAAAACCTTCTTGCAATGTCAGATTTTAAGATATTAGACTCGAGATAATATGATATTCTTTGTCCCAGTAGAAATTTGTCCAGGGTGCACTATTCGGGATATCAGAGCAGAAATAGGAATTACTCGAGCATCTGTAACTCAAGATCTCTAGTATGTTCTTCACTTGAATATCATAATGCATTGTCCTAGATGGCTTTAGATGGCTTAGAAAGAGAAAACAATTATAATCACTCGTACTAAAGAAAGTAAAAGCTCACAAGCCTGCCAATTTTGGACAAATTCCATGACACATTATTTTTTTATTTTTTTCTTGGAAGAAAAATAGGGTATCATTATTGTCAAAGAGAAACCCCTTAAAGTACATTTAGTAAGCTCGAAAGAGGTGCCGGCTGGCACAAAATCCAATCCCCCCATTAACTCACAAGGGACTACAGGAAACACTTTTCACCTAGACACAAAAAATAAAATGAAATTCAGTGACATCCTTGTCAAGATAAACATCAAAATTGCAAAATTACTATCATTGCCAACTCTAGGGAAGCCAAAACAATCATAGTTCATCTTCTGATAAATTCTCTGCAAAAACCCCGTCTATAACAATGTTTTGTCAAAAATTAAAACAAATTTGATAACTTTGAAATTCTGTTATTACAAGTAGCACCACGACAAAAAAGGCTATCCTACCTCCACTCCAAAAACCTGCTCAAGACTTCTAAGCTCTTATGGTACATAATAGCCATCATATGAAGCAATTTTGTATGGATCAACAGAAATAAAATAATTTCGACATAAAAGTCAAATGGATGAAGAATATAATCCATTTACTTGAAAACTAATATTTTCTCCGATGAAGTAGTTGTTTGGTCACAAGAACTATCAGTTATCGAAGAAACAATCTTTAGAATGAGCAACCAATAACTGGACCATTGTAAAATCACATATTAAGCCATACCACATTAACCAAGAGAAAACCATGATTGGG